AAGAGTACTCAATTTTTGATTAGTCAAAGGTTTTGGATACTGTCTTCTAAACAAGCCATTAATTCAGTATTGTCCAAATGTATTAGATGTTGGAAACAATCTCCCAAAAACTTACAACCCCCTATGGGTAATTTGCCTAAATTTCGTCTCGGTGCCATTAAACCCTTTTCGATTTGTGGGTTAGATTATGGTGGACCGTTTTCGATAACCATGTCTCGTTACAGGGGAGTTAGAACTCAAAAGGCCTATTTGTGTTTATTTGTATGTTGCGCTACAAAGGCTTTACATCTGGAATTAGCTAGTGATTTGACCGCGGAAGCCTTTTTGGCCGCTTTACAACGTTTTGTCGCTCGGAGAGGTCGAGTATCGCAAGTATTTTGTGATAATGGCACTAATTTCCACAGTGCTTATCGACAGCTTAGTAGCTTTATGGAGAGCGCTCTCGATAAGGAAAATATTAAGTTTTCATTTGCTCCTCCTGCTGCTCCACATTTTGGCGGTATTTATGAACGCGGAATTCGTTCTGTAAAGGAACATATTGGTCGTATAGTCGGGGCACAAATTTTGACTTACGAAGAATTTTATACCGTTTTGACGTTAATTGAATCCGTCTTAAATTCACGCCCTCTCACCCCTTTAACCAATGATGTTGAAGATCTCAATGCTTTGACCCCAGGACATTTCCTGACTCTTGAACCCTTGACATCTTTGTCTGTGCCTGATTTTTCGGAGGTATCCTTCAATCGTTTGTCCAGATGGCAGTTGTTACAGCGCATCCATAGAGACTTTTGGGCTCGATGGCGAAAGGAATATTTGCACACCTTGCAACAAAAGTGTAAATGGTTAGATCCTAGTTTTGTACCTAAAATCGGCACCTTAGTTGTTTTAAAGGAGGATAATTTGGCTCCGTGTAAGTGGCCTCTCGCGCGTCTTGTTGAATTACATGAGGGTAAAGACGGTGTAGCTCGAGTGGCTACCGTGCGTACGATTACCGGAACCTTAAAACGGCCTCTTGTCCGAATCTGTCCCGTGCCGATAGATGAAGATTAAATGGTCAGCATTTTTTTTACTGATTTTGTTTTGTTCGGCTTTTATGAATAGAACCACGACAAAACCACCATTTTAATTTTAATTTTTTTATTTTTTAGTTTAAGTTTTGAATATTTGTTTAATATTTGTATAGGAATTGTTTGTAGTAATTATCGTTTTGATTGTTTAAGTAATGATAGTATTTAGAATTCGTTTTGTTTTTTAAAGACCTTATGGCCTTTAAAGGGGGGAGAATGTTTAAATTCAAATATGGTTGTATAAATTAATCAAGACATTTTGTCCTCCCCCTGTATACCTTCGATCCCTATTCGTACCGTTCGGGTATGCTATGCATCCCGTAGGACACAAGCGCTTAAGTCGTTGAGCAGAATAGACGCAAGACACAACCCTCGCGAGTGCGTCGATGCATCGAAATCGGTTGGTTTTATAGTAGTGAATTATGGTACCTAATTAGCGGTTCGGTAAGTTCACCTAGTTTAATACCTTTGTTTGTTTTTTGATTGTTTTTGCAACCATTTAAATTTTATATTATTTGTTATTTGCACCTATGAGTGAAAGTTCATTTATCTTGCCAGAGCTATCGAAGGAATAGCTGGTATTAATCTTAGTACTATTAATTCGTAATAGTACATTATTTTGTTAAACCCCCACAGATATAAAAAATTCAACTTGCATTTTTACATTCCTAAGAAAGATGCATGCAAAATTAAAATATCTAACCCTGATTTGAGCCAAAGAGATAAAAGAATACTTGAAAGAGACCATGAGCAAAAAGCTTTACTTTTTTCAGTATTAACAGTTTCAGATGCCTACTACAAACCAAACCTCTACTGCTACAGTTTGAAGTGCATGATTTTGAGAAATATTCTGGATATTTTTACTCGTATGTATGGAATGAAACCAAATTACTATTCATACAATATCATATGACATATTTTTCTTTAATGACAATTTTTTTCACTGATTTAAAACTTGCTCTTTCAAATTTAGTTACAGAAATGTTCTCAAAACTTTAAAGTCAGTAATGTCAACTGACTTGTTGAATGCCAACTAATATAAAAGAATACTCTAGAAAAATCATATTACAACTGATCCTGACTGGCCTATTATGATATTGTTAGTGCCCAAACTCCACCAACCCAACAATGCGTTTTTGTAACTGCATGTAAAGATAGTGCAAGCACTCCTGACCACGGCGCAGTAGACGAAATTTGATTTAGTCCCCACTTCCATGCGAAACGCATTGTACTACGCACTGTATAATTCATCGAGCAATAAGACAAAAGAGGGAATCTAATCCTTATGAAAAGGAGACCAAAAAAGTGGCCTCTGATGGCGGACATATCCATAAATGCGAATGCGCGAAATTTAAATTTTCCGACACTTATCAACAGTAGCTATATAATATTTTTCAGAATGTGTCTTAGACGAGAAAGTTTTAATTAATTATTAACGATAATAGTCTAAAATGCGACACAATTGTTAAAAAACTTCAATATAAATAAGATTTCATGTGACATTTGGGACAAACATAACATAACCCAACTAAATTTGATGTCAAACAAGGAGAGAGACTCTCTTTCCTTGTTTAATGTGGCCTCTAAAGATCGCACTTCCTGTCTAACAATATGTTTGCCCCCACTACCTTTACATTCCCTCTATTGTCTTTTTGCTCGATGGTATAATTCCACTTACAATAGAACCTTTATGTCTTTGCGTGAATTTTGACTCAGCCTTCGCGCAGCTCCATGGTCAGGAGTGTTTGCACTATGTTTAACATAAAACCTATATTTCTTGAGAATTTGGTATGTTGAATTATCCACTATGTGTGATATTTTTACTTACGCCTGATATAAATTTTAGAATTTGCATCTTAACATAGTATTTATAAGATTTAATACTTATCCCCCTAAAATCTTCCCCAATATTTGACTATTAACGCAAAAAAATATGGATAAAACTTCTCAGTACATTTGCGATTTGAAGTTGGCTTAAGAACAGTCCTGCCAACCTAAACTCGATAAATAAACTAAAAGAGGTATGTTACTTGACTGACGGTAATCAAAAATGAAATACACTGTATCTTGAATTTTATGGTTCCTGTAAACAAAAAATAATGTAAGATACATGAAAGGTTCTTTATATATCATTAATGATTAATATGTAATGCATTAGTCATTCAACTCTAAAAGTCTGTTCTTTATTCACACTATAACATGGTTAGGTCTATATTGAATCTCATCATGCTAAATAATAATTTCTATGTGTCACTAAATTATGAATCAACCATTAACACTTTGCATGCTAATCACACCTATAAGCGTCAAGATATCGCTTCAGTCATATGCTGATGACGCACATGTGAGTTTTTAAGATATTTATGTTTTGTATTATCCAGATAAATACCCTTGTGTATAAAAGTTTACTTTTAGAAAGAGTTTGTAGAGGAAACTATCTGTTAATCTATTTATTAAGCGGTTCTCAAAAATATTTTCTACCTTTCCTTCTACAACCAATAGTTCCATAGTTCCCGTTCTTATGGCTAAAGTAATTTAGGTATTCTCGGTTTACTTTTTTTATTAGCCTATCGTTTATATGAAGCTGTTCTATAAGTGACAGGTTGATCCTGCCATATCGACCACAGTATTTATATACATAATGAGAAATCATTGAAAAATACTCTGTCTATGTCCTTATTATCTCTTTTTCTCCTTTTAGAATGTTTCCATTACCTTCTTTAATTTCACTTGTGTTTCAGTAGTTTCTTCTCGGGTGCTGTATTAAAAATTATTTTCGATTTGTTTTGTAAATTGGGATTAAAAAATAATATTGTTTCTGGTAAAATAATTCAAAGAAAAGCAGTAGAAATTTCAAGTGAACTAAGCATTGATATGAAGGCTTCTATCCTATATCCAAATATAATGAGTTTATGAGTGGTATTGATCGTAAAGATCAAATGCTCACTTACTATCCATGTAAGCGAAAGACACTCTATTCACATATTTCAAGTTTTGGTTATTGGTATTGGTTACTCCAGCATAAAAAAAAACAACAAACAATTATAATAATTTGTAATTATTAATATTATTATTGTAATATGTTTACTGTTAAAATTTCCAGTAAATGGTTCTTTTGACAATAATGACTTTCTGCTATTTAAAAATCAAAGACACTTGTCTCTTAGCGTATGAATGAAACATTAATGATATAGTGCTGACAACGCCTATGAGCGTCACGCGTTAAAAAAGACAAAATTTAGCAAAAACTGAATAAGTGTATTCTGTCAACAAAAAACCAATCACAGTTATAACGATTTACAAAAAAAATACTCTCAGCACCTATCACTAGCATATCATTAGGCTTTAGGCATGCGACGTGTTAAATACATTCTGGTAAGACTCTACTAGTGATGCTACTCTAAGTAAAACGAATTACACAATTTGTTTGTGGGAGAAAGAGATATGTACATATTTTCAAATATTTTAGCAGTTGCTACTTATTTCAGACAGCAGTATCTGTTTTCTGTTATCTAAAGTAGATGGTGATATGTGATAAATAACCGTCATATACATTTTAAGAGCAGGAAATTTAGCGGGAGCCTGAAATCCAGCTTTTCTCTTTCCAATTTGTACCTGATGAGGTCCAATATATTTAAACATGCCATAGTATGTTTAGAATTTCTTGTATAAAATGAATTTTGATGATTCAACAACTGCATTACATAACCTAAAGATTTTGGTAGAGTTAAACTTAAAGTATGGAAAAATTAAATTAAACAAAAACGAAAAACTGAAATGCGTGCTGTGATAATACTTTCATTTGACAAGGGTTAACAACAACCAAAATCAAAATAAAATTAGTTTTAATTTTTATCTCTATGAAAAATGGAATAATGAAAGAAATTTTGTAAGAAAACTTTCTACTTATGTGTTATTAAACTTACCAAAATTCTAGTCTGCATACACAATATAATCAGGATCGGCCACTTCCATAACATATGGTTGTTGGATCATTTGTATGCTATTTGTACCACGTTGTAAATTATTTTTATTTCTAAAAGATCAACTTAAGTATTAAACTATATCAGACATATAGAAAAATCTTACTTAGATTTGGCGTGAGTTAAAATATGACTCTTCAGGTTAGTGGATTGTGCAAATTTCTTGTTACAACCATCAAATGGACATACATACGGCCTGTCTCCAGTATGTATCCGAACATGTGTTCTAGAACAACAAAAAAATATTCAGATCAAGAAAAAGAACCTAGAAATGTACCATATATCTTATGTTAGATAACCTTGTTTTTCTTTTATTAAATTCTTGGCAAATTCTTTAAGGAATATTTTTAAATATTTTTAAGGAATTAACTCATTTTTTTACAATTGTGTTTTCAAAATTGTAAATAAGTTAGATTATGAATGTAATTAAAGTTTGTACTATTTTGTGGAAGTGACTAACATTCCAACCAACAAAGATCTTATTGCACAGCAATTATGATTTTTTAGATGGCACCATATAAAATAATAAAAATGTAACTAGTAGATCAATCTTTAAATGTAATTTATTGCCAAATATTAAAGAAAATTTAACAAAAATCAAATACTTTACTATTCAATGTACATCTTTATTCTGGTTGAATTTAGATCACTTACCTTAAGTTAAAGTCTAAACTGAACCTCTTCCCACATCCTTCAAAAGTGCATTGGAATGGTTTTTCTCCTGTGTGTACTAATTGATGGCGCTTGAGCTTACTAGATTCTACAAAAGCTTTTCCACATTCAGCACAAACATGGACACGAGGTCCATGTGTGTGTAAATGTTTTCTCATAGCAGAATTGTCTCTAAACATTTTATTGCAGCCTTTATGAGGACAAGCTAAAACAAATACAGTATTTAAACAAAAGAAATGATTACTTGGTGAAGAGCAAAATCTTAGTGCAGTCATCATAGACAGTAATCGTAATACTTTAACATCAACTTATCAATCAGTATATTAAAAAAAGCATTTTGAGGGACCTTTGCTGAAACTACTTGTTAAACCAGGTTCTTCCAAATAATGTTCAAAAAATTAAAAAGAAAAGCAGAGCAGTTAATCCCAACAAGATTTTTTCAACTGGGTGCCACTTGTACTTCAAAACTATTGCACTTATCAAGATGAACCAAACAGCATTTTACTCTTTAAATGTCTCTTTACTCAAAAATATTCATTGTTATTTAGAAAAATAAAAAAAAAAAAGAAAAATTCAAAAGTTCACCGTTTTGTTTTTTGTTGATTCTTTTCCAAGAAATGATGACACCCTTCAACAAATTGGAGGAGTTTGAGCAACTATTTTCAGAGTTGCCATTAGAAAAAAAAAATTTCAAGTAGTTTAATTTAAGTACTTTCACCTGTAAAAAGTTTGATTTTAAAATAAAATTTGTTTAAAAAAAACACGGTTTTTGGAGACACCTGACCTTAAATGGTGCATAAAAATTCACAAATTATACTTAAAAGGGCAGACCTATAGAACAAGTGCCGAGGAACTGACAGAAGATTAGTGACAGATCTGTATTTGGCAGTGTTGCCATATCACAAATAAATCCTTGAAAGAGCATGCGATATAATATTAATTAATGTTCAACGTTCTTTTTAAGTTTTTGAAAGAAGTTTAATTAATTTAAATTTAATTTATTATAATTTAAATTAACTTTAATTTTTTAAGCTTTTAAATTCTTAAGTTATTAAATTTAATTAAACATCTTTACAGATATATTTTTACTTTGTTATTCACATTTTAAGGATTAAATTGTCAATAATGATAATTTAATCTCTGCAACGTAAATTTGAAAAAATATTGATCTGAACAAGCTCCAGTAACTAGCTAATACATTAACAAAACGATATTCAGGTACCATTTCACTCCAAAATTATAAGAAAATAGTCATAAAAATCATAAAATTGAAATCTGCTAAACATCTGTTGCAATCTGGCAACTACTGTTTTCAAAATTTTGACAGTATTGCCAAGTTTATTTACTAATCTACCAAAGGCCAATTATAATTTTTTTTCTAATAACTAACTGCAACTAATATCAAAAGAAACAAATAGTCATTCGTTCATGTTTCATATAAATTCAAAAAATAATATAATAAAAATGTACTGTTTCAAAGCATATTTGAGGCATAAAACATACACATAATAAGAACATGGCAATACCTCAGACACAAATTTGACATGAGGTTTATGTTAAATTCTCGGCACTTATTCTATAGATTTGCCCTTAAAAGTATTGTAGTTAGTCTTACCTATGGTTCTATCTGTTGTGTCTTGATTTGGTCTCCGAACTCTAGGACTTTTAAGTCCAGGTCTTGCAAATTCAGCTAATTGTTTTGGATCTGACAAATCCAATCCAGGTATCCCATCAACTGGTATCTTTTTACCAGTCATGTATTCAGTGTAATCTGGATCTGGTTCAGGATTAGAACCTTCATCTATAAGACAAAACATATCTTTTTATATTCTTTACGAAAATTAGTAAAATACCCATAGGATGAAAAAAAAGAAGGAAGAAGAAAATTTAATGTACTCAGAATCATTAATAAATCACAAAAATAAGGAAAAATAGAAATATTATGGAAAACAAGTGATTACTAGTAAAATAAGAAGTGAGACAAATCAATGATTATATTACTGACACCTATGGAAAGCCTAGAAAATAGGAATAGGCCAGAAGACAACAAAAGGTTAGAAATAGTAACCAGTTAGAAATAGTAGAAAATCTAAATAAAGAACAGAGGTAAATGAGTGCTAATGAATGGAAACCTAGAAAAATACCTACAAAAGCAATAGTCCTAAAGGTTACTCATACTAGAAGTCCTTACACTAAGGAAAAGTGATACTCGGATAAAGATCCTACAAAGATAACAGCCTTTGTTAGTTGAAAATAGGTACAACATAGATTTTATATTAATTAAATCTATATTAAATGGCATTTGCACAGATCAGTTTATACAAAAGAATCTTTAAGTTTTGAAACATTTCAGAAAAACTGTTTAGGAATATAAAGATTGGAAAAATATATGTTCTATTAAAAATAATTTACCCTGTTTATGTTTATATTCCCATATTATATGATTCATGATTGAATCTTGCACATTTCAAATGTAGTATCATATATTAGTAATATCAGTTCATACAAAGCACTGTTAAGCAATTTATGTAATTTATAATTCTGCTTATCGAACTTAATGCATTGAATTCCATGTGATAAAACTGTTTATGTACAATAATACTTTTTACTAAATACTAAAAGGGCAACAATTCAAATACCAGCGGTAATAGTAATGACGTTTGCGCAGATGTCAAATAGATTTTAAAAATAGAAATGAAAATTCTGGACTCAATTTTATTAAACAATTAACTAAGTTCGACTATTTATGTAAATTGCATCTTCTGGCATATAAAAAGAAATATAATTTAGTAGACTATAATAGAAAATTTATTTTTTAACTTTTTTACAAACATGGATACCCGCCATAATTGTCCACCATGATTATTTTCATCGGCCATTTAAAAGTATGGCAGATTTTACAGTGATGGCTGCTCAAAATCAAAACAAACTACAAACTGACTAGATTTTTTAAAGTTTTGCTTTTAATGACTTAACTAAACTACCCTACTGCCCTAACAGTTATAGATATGCTTAAGCAAGTGACCTTAGTGACCTTGATGCTGTAAATCAATTGGACATGAAATACCTCAGTGAAAAATGAACTACCGGAAGACAAATACTAAATATGTACATACCGTCGCTTGTTCCTGATGCCCACATTGTTACGGAAAACTCGCCTTCCATCGTTTTTATTTGCACTTGTTTCTGTTCCCACTTTCGAGGCTTTGCTTCGACATGCATTTCACTGAGCAAAATTTCATTCTCGCGTCGAGCAAGCACGCCACGGTTTTTCATGGCTTTCTTCCGTTTAGATGGTCCAGGGGAAGATTCGACATACAAATCAGACGAGTCAGGCACAGGTACATCATATAAATTTAAAGGATCTCCGGAATCATCTATGATTTCCTCTTGTGCCTCTAAAATAATGTCTCTACCTTCTAAAGACTGCATTGACATCATAGGTTCTCCACATTCTACGATAGTATCGCAGTTGTCGGTCATGTCTACAGGTATAGCTTCTATTTCAACGCATTCTTGGATGTCCGGCTGAATTTCTACTTCACACATAATATTTTGATGGTCCGCCATGACTATGGCTCCTATTTTGTTTATAAAAGATGGTCGACAAATATGGCCACTCACAACACAACAATGGCGGCGAAAACTGTCTAACGGGAACAAAACTGCGTCTCAGTCGAAACAAGTTCTCGGAAATTTTACGAGGACAGACATACTAATTCATCTGTGCTCTCTTTCTATTACAAACTAAGAAGAATGTATTTTAAGAGAAATGACGTGCGTGCTAAGTTCGCATAAATAAATGAACGCCTCGCCATCTATGAATGTATAGTGTAAAAATTGAAGCGTTCAATGCAGAAAATTGCATTAAACAATTTAATTTGTAAATATGTATAAATAGGTTATATTTTTGTACTGAATATCCAAATATCGGTAATATATTTTTAATTAAAATCTAATTGGAAACTGTAATATTAGAGGCTAAAGGCATTATTCATGCGTATTTTTTTTTATTTTTTATCTATAAGCCAAATTTAATACATAATCTTGTAACTTCAGAGCATAGGATTTTTTCTATTAGAGAATGCTTACCATTAGTTTTTCTGTAGTATCATGTATTATTAATTCCATTAAATTAAAATAAATATTGTTATAATATGAAAGTTCCCAGTGTACAAATAAAACAAATATTATATTAGAACAAATATTTGGATAAATAGAATCATAGAACACATATGAAAATATAATTAAAATGGAATTCTTCATTTGTTCATTATTTATGGTCTCGTCAATAGGTATATTGTGTTCGTTAGTTCTCTGGGTAAATATATAGGTATTCTCACATTAGATCTCACAAACTTTAGCTGACATAGTTTTGTTCTGGAATGACATTTAAATTAATCATATAGAAATTCAGAAATTGATATGATAAGCATATTTTTATATAGATATGACATATCAACTGCTTATCAATGCTGGATATGGATAAAAACTAACCATAAACCATAGTAAATTTTTATACATTGATACTCACTTCGGGGATTTACATAAATCTGGGTATAAAAGGTAGTAAAAGTAAAAAATCCTCATCAGTGATATAATTTGAGTGTGTTTGTAAGTCAAGTTCTTAGTTTTCTTTGTACAGAAATTATTTAGGTTCTCTAAAATGTATCCCTGTGCATATTGTGATAGAGTTTTCAGAGAATATGAGTACAGGCAGCAACATATTGATGACAAACACTATTTTGAATGTGATTACTGTGATGAGAACTTCATATCTGCAGAACAAAGAGACATTCATGATAGAAGAATACATCTAATATTTGAATGTCCCCATTGCGATAGACTTTTCAGGGCAAATGAGCATATGGAGCAGCATATTGATGACCAACATTATGTTGAATGCAATTACTGTGACGATTACTTCATATCTGCTGAGGAAAGAAACATTCATGATAGACAGGTACATTTAACATTTGAGTGTCCATATTGTGATAGATTGTTCAGGGCAGATGAGCATATGCAGCAGCATATTGACGACAAACATTATTTTGAATGTGATTACTGTGATGATTACTTCATATCTGCTGAGGAAAGAAACATCCATGATAGACAGGTGCATCTAACATTTGAGTGTCCACATTGTGATAGACTTTTCAGGGCAAGTGAGCATATGGAGCAGCATATTGATGACAAACATTATTTTGAATGCAATTACTGTGACGATTACTTCATATCTGCTGAGGAAAGAAACATTCATGATAGACAGGTACATCTAACATTTGAGTGTCCATATTGTGATAGATTGTTCAGGGCAGATGAGCATATGCAGCAGCATATTGATGACAAACATTATTTTGAATGTGATTACTGTGATGATTACTTTATATCTGCTGAGGAAAGAAACATCCATGATAGACAGGTACATCTAACATTTGAGTGTCCACATTGTGATAGACTTTTCAGGGCAAGTGAGCATATGGAGCAGCATATTGATGACAAACATTATTTTGAATGTGATTACTGTGACGATTACTTCATATCTGCTGAGGAAAGAAGCATCCATGATAGACAGGTACATTTAACATTTGAGTGCCCATATTGTGATAGATTGTTCAGAGCAGATGAGCATATGCAGCAGCATATTTTTGCCAAACATTAGAAAAATGTAGAAATAATGATAAACTAGTTTATCAAAATATTAAGTTCTAAATATTTAGCAGTTTATATATATATATATATATATATATATATATATATATACATATTATATGGGGCTTAGTTACGTTATGTACTATCATTTATTAAATATTCATGATGTTATTAGTGGTAGTAGTTTGAAGAGTTAATACATAATCTTGGGATTTAGTTTAGTTTATTTCATTTATTTAAATATTTGTATATGTATTATACGATGCTAATAAATATTTTTTTCTTTATTTATAAAAATATACTTTTTCCTTTATTGTGATAATTGATCGAAAATATCTAGCATAACATATTTTCTTTGTATATATATATATATATATATATATATATATATATATATATATTATATATATATATATATATATATTATATATATATATATATATGTTTCATCTTATATAATTAGTTTTTCACTTATTTATTCATTTCCTATCATTTTGCAATGGTAGTATTCAGTATTTCCATATAGTAAAGGTAAGGTATATGAGCAAAAGTCAAAGGTGGACATTCTCATGCAAATTAAATTAATTTTTTAAGTTAACCAGCTGATTTAGATTATATGCTATAGATTTTGAATGATTCTATTATCAAATTGATGGATTCGACTGTTACTTGATGGAAATTCATTTTATGTAACAATAAAACACTGAAAACTTTGTTTTCAAACTTCCAGAAAATTTATTTTAACTCTTATCACTACAGCTGTTTCGGCTGATTGCCTTTCTCAATTTTGCCTATTTTTGGCTTGCATTTACACCTTATAGTCTCTAATTAAATAGGTTGAAGAGGGGAGAACTGTTTGTCTCAAGTTGGTCATTCAGAATTATATCTGTGTTTTTTAATTTGTTGATTTTCATAGATTCTAACAAAGATAGCTTAAGACCTTTATTTTGAATGTGAAGAATTTTAAATTTGTCATTAAAAGAATGATTATGATCTAGAAGGTGATGTGCGTATGTCGAATCTGTCTTTCTATTATTGAATGTTCTGAATGACCAACTTGAGACAAACAGTTCTTCCCTCCTCAACCTATTTAATTAGAGACTATAAAGTGTAAATGCAAGCCAAAATAGATCACTTGTGAATGGCAATCAGCCGAAACAGCGGTAGTGATAAGAGTTAAAATAAATTTTGTGGAAGTTTGAAAACAAAGTTTTCAGTGTTTTATTGATTCTATTATCATCAAGTTCTTGATCTGAGTTTTTTTTATTAAAGAGACGATTTGTCAGGTGTTTCACACATTCTAAGCTTTGTTTTAGATAATTGGAACAATAAAGTTTATACAAATCATAGATTAGTATCATCTATTTCATATAAATCTAAGTTTCTGATATAAATATGTGCGTTTTCTTGGCTATGCATTCTGTATGTTCAAGATCCATAGGTTTTGATTTTTCATGTATTCTGTCTCTGCCCATCTCAAAAGGATCTTTAGTGAAATTGTCACTTTTATTTAATTGATCAGAAAAAGTTCGTTTTAATGAATATCTATAGAAATAATTGGAATAATATAGAAAAGAATATGAACTCAAAGCTGATTGTTTTGAAGTATTCTTCAAGGTCTTTATATTACTTGCCTTTTCATGCAGCTATCAGTAATAATTCGGTACTTTAGGAAAATGTTATTTTAAGTTCAACAAGTCAGTTGCTCACTCATTATTCTTATTATTTGAATTATTTTATCTTTAATATATATATATATATATATATTATATATATATATATATATATATTATTTTATCTATTTTCTATCACATTTAATAAATCACTGAGAATTAAAGACCAATGACTTACATCTTTATGGTCTGAAGTCAGTTAACCTGTGGTCTGCTGTATTTTAAGTTCTTATAGGAACAATATCACAAGGGAAGGGTAAATAAAAATCGTACAGTCATGCTTCAAGTGAAGTAGAATTCATTGGTATAAATTTTATCTCTGCAGACATTATTCCATCTTACACTCATTATTATTTTATCTATTAAGAGGTTAGTCTTCGTAAATGGGTATATTTATTTAAAAACCCCTAAAAGAGCTACATCAAAAAAACAAACGTTTTCGGACTAAACAGTCCATCATCAGGTTTAAAATTGCAAGGTTATAATGCCTGAGCCACCAAAATACCTGGGTAAAAACCCTTTAAATTACATATAGTTGTAAAAGATTATACATCATGTTGTAAAAAAACTGTGATGTTCAGTATTAAATTAAATTTGACTTCAGGTAACATACATGGCTGAAGTGAGTTCCAGAGCCGGAGAGTAACTCTTTGGCTTTACCCGAGGTTTAAATTTAACCGGCTTTACCGGTGGTTTAAATTTAACCGGCTTTACCGGTTAATGTAAGAAACAATTGTCGATTATTTTTTATAATTTGCATTATGTTGTAGAATCTTGTTTTACTACAATAATTAGCAACAAAGCATATTCGAACGTTTAAAATTCCCGCCGCGTCATTACCCATTTAGTTCATAACTAAACCAGGCAGAGGGCGCTGTATACATTGCAATTTTTGGTATTAAAGAGTTGCATGCAAGAAATGCATAGAGAAATAACAAATAAGGTCCAATGTTGTAATAAAAATGATTGTTTATTTGTACGTATAGTTCGTGCAAAAATAACTAGATAACGCTCAGAACTTTGCGTATTACTGGTTGCATAACGTTCAGTTACAATATATACGTCATTGTTTACAACATTTTTGAATTTCAAAGTGCAAATATTTAAATGGGTAGCGTTGCACTTTATGGGATTTGTATTCTGGTTTTTCTATTTTATCTGTTTAAACAAGATTATTGCAAATTAATATTATAAATTTTTATAATGGAATAAAATAGATCTCTGATTACAGCCATCAACAATTGGTGGAATTTTATGGCTTCAAAAATGCTTAATTGTATGGTTAAGGATGTGGGTTAACTAGATTATATGTGGTATTTTAATTTTATCGACATTGTTTCTACTAGTTATGCAACCAGTAATACAAAAACTGAACTTATGACCATCAACCTTTAAGATAGAATTTAGACTATTGGCTATCTTAATCTAATCTATAAAGAAATATCTAGAATAAAGTAGGTGCCTCCTAGTGGCGGTGGGATACGGGCAACAATACGTTGGCTTATAGAACCATCCTTACATGCGTGTGTTTTACTGCACTTGGGCTACATTGGTGGTCTAGCTAATTCGTGAAAGACATGATGCATATAGAAATGGCATTGAGGCTGAAAACGTCCGAAAATCTTTTCAGGTCATAATGAAAAGACCTTCTTTAATGTAATAAAAATTATACTGAAATTCTGGGGTAATAGAGGAGAAGCTTTAACCATAGAGGAAGTTCTCGAAGCTATATCGAATGCCCAGAAACAATAAAGCCCCGGGAGTTGACGAAATACCAGCAGAATTGTATAAGGTAGGTGGCGACCACCTAGCAAGTCACATCACATCCACGCGTTCATTAAAGACATATGACAAGAAGAGAAAATACCCGACGACTTAAAAAAAAGTATAGTATGCGATCTAAAAAAGAACGTAGTATGTACAGCATATAAAGTCCTTACGTATATTATAAACTAGCGGCTCCAACCACTAGCAGAAAATATTGGAGATTATCAGACGAGCTTCCGCCAGGGAAGATCGACAATGGATCAAATATTTACAGTCAAACAGATCTTGAATAAATCGTGGGAACATAACGTTGATGTCCAGAACGTGTTTGTAGACTTCAAACATTCATACGACTCAGTCGAAAGAAACCAACTCTACAATATATTGGCTGAATTGGCAATACCACACAAGCTAATTAGACTCATTAAAGCCACAATGGATGGAACTCGGGCATGTGTACGAATACAAAACCACCGGACAGACTTTTTCAAAATTTCGCAGGGAGATGGGCTGGTCTCAACTTTGTTTAATCTGCCACTGAAGTATGCGGTTAGGCAAACGCAAACTGGACGAGGAAACCTACTGACAACAGAACGGTTCAACTGGCCGCTTATATTGATAGTATGAGTAGAACATCAACAGGAGCACAAGAAACATACGCAGAGTTAAAGACGCAAACAAAAAGGCTTGGTCTGGTAATTAACACAGAAATAGTGATACAGACGAGAAGAAATATAGTCCCACAACATTATACATGAAGATGACATTGAAACGGTTGGAAAGTTTATATACCTGGGAGTAGAAATATATGCCGACGGATCAGAAGATGGAGAAATACGGTACGAAAAAGGAAAGTACTGAGAAGAATACCTGTGAGGACCTGTAAGGGAAAACGGAATCTTTAACGGAAAGTCGATACACGAACGAGCTTTATCAACTTTATAAGGAAAAATGTGATAAGAATGGGAGAGGATAGGCTACCAAAAGGAGCACTGAATGCTAGAATGCAAGGAAAGAGACCGGTTGGAAAGCCAAGAAAGTGCTGAGAAGACACAGTAAACAGCGACGTACAAACCCTTTTAGGAGTCCATGTATGAAGATCAGCCACAGACAAACAATAAAGGAGGCCAAGGCTCAATTTGGGCTGTAGTGCCGTAGAAGAAGAAGAATTGCTGATAGTGAAATGAAAGATAATGTAGTAGAAGTTGTAAGCAGGAATGTTAGAATAATGTGAATGAAATTTGTACTTGATAAAGAAGTATTGACAGCTAAACTATATAAAGAAGGTGGTCATGATACCATAATGGCATTACAGCGGCTTATAAAAGAAATATGGACACAGAAATCCCTTCCCAATGATTGAAATATTGGAAAACTTTGCACCATACACAAAAAAGGAGATATCTTAGAATGCTCTAACCACAGAGAAATTACGCTTCTAAATGCAGCATATAAAATATTTTCCACAGTACTATGTCACCGTGTCACATATTTATAGACTACAAAATAGTCTACGACTCTGTGGATAGAAGAGAAATGTTCAAAGCAATGAAAGAGCTAGGAATACCAAATCAGTTGGTAAGTTTAACAAAACTAACCCAGTACTAACATATGGTTCAGAGACCTGGACAAAAAATAATGAAAACATGTTAGGATATTTCGAAAAAAAAGTACTAAGGCGAATTTATGGAGCAGTGAATGACAATTGAGTGCGGAGAAGAGAATACAACTTCGAACTTTATAGAGTTTACCAGGAACCAGATATCGTAAAACATATTAAGATAGGACGTCTGAGGTGGGTAGGCCATGTAATGCGAATGGAACAAAATGATCCAGCTCGAAAAACGCTCCTTGATAGACCCATTGGTTAGAGAAGAAAAAGAAGACCTAGAACAAAGTTCCTTGATAACATCGATGAAGACATGAGAAATATGGGAATACGTGCTTGGCGGAGAAAGACGATGGATAGTAGAGGCACAGAATAATAAACAATCAGAATGCCGACTCTCCATGGAAAATTAAGTACGCGCATCTCCTTCGCGCAGACGTTCCGCCATGTTTTAGAGGGCACCAGTGTTGTTTATGTGGCGTGCATAGAAAAATGAACCCTGTTTAATTGACTTACGGCTATCATATACTGACTATACATTTATATTAACATTGTTAAATATAATAACATAAATATAATATAATTAAACATAAATATAAACAATTACATAACCTCACAAATCATATGTCTGTATTATGTGTTTCCTCCTAAAATATGGCGCGCGTGCTAAAAAACTTCAAAGGCGGCATCTGAGAGTGGGAATTCTGATTGTTTATTATTCTGTGGTCGAGGTGTGCATATTTGTTCTTTTAGACGAACTAGTTCAAGAGAACTATTTCACAAAAATGTACTAGTTCGCGAAAGAACTATGTGTAGGACCGAAATCGAAATCCAACCCTAACATAACTGGTTGCCAGATGTCTCGTCTCTATCATTACACAAGCTCGGCGCCGGCCGCCCATTTTCTTCGGTTTTAAGTTCAGTTCAGTCAGTCTTTCACTACAAGTAGTTCGGTTCGGAACCATTTATTTCGATCATATGTTTAGGTTTAAATGTTTTAAATTATTATATGATTAGTTAGTTTTTCTTTATAATAAGTTGTTTTCTTAATAAATCGCAAAAGATGAGTAACAGACGAAATAGAAGTTTTTATGGGATCATTTCGAGAAAAACGATAAAAATCAAAAATCTGTAAAATGTAATTACTGTTCATGTGATATTAGTATTGCAAATTGTTCACTTGGCAATTTATCAAGACATTCAAGTATGAAGTTGAGACACAATTTATAATGCAAATCGTTCGCAGTGAACTAATTCTATGAAAATTAATGAACTAGTTCAGTTAAAAGAATCGTTCATTTGAACTATTTCGATGGTGAACTACACATCCCTAATGGATAGGGACGACTGGAGAGAATTTCTTGAGAAGGCTAGGACCCACGTACGGTTGTTAAGCCAGAATGATGATGAAAGAAGTAACCAAGATCTTAACTTTCAAAATAAGTTATGCAACCAGCAATACTATACCTTCAATATTTTGCTCCATGTTAAGTAGAATACAAAAAATTGGTACATTTTCCCATGAATGAATAAAACAGGATAAAAAATAGACGGTATAAGACACGATACAATATAATAAAATATATTTAATAATATAAATTTATTTCATTAGATTTCATTACACATACAATTAATTTCAACATTTTCCACTAAACGAAAAATAATTTTTCGATGTACCCTACTTAAAAATATAAAAAATAACAAAAACACGATTCAAATACAATAAATTTGCGTAATTCTATTTACTGTCAAATACTAAACATTTTACGTACATATATACATATTATACAAGGTTTTATACCAATATATTAAGAAATGTCTTACTGAAAAAAGGTTTCTTGGACTTACTGTATATAAACTGGTTCGTATTATTTTAATTTTTATAAATAAACGTCGCAAAAGCACAACTAATCATCACAAAGAGTATATAAAATAAAATATTGGAGACTATCAAAAGGAACTTAGTGGTGATGGCCCATCGACAGCAACAACGGACACATGCATCCGACGACGAGGAAAAGTAATTCTACGGATTTCAATCGAGAACTGGGAGAGGGCAGTTTAGAGTTCTCCACTTGCGGCAGTCTATCGTAGCTGTGTTCGTGACCTTGGGTTATATCCGCTAAAACGTGGACGGTTGCTACGTACAAGAATGTTCCCGCCGAAAACAACATCGCTATACCTAGAAAAAACAGTAATAATGTAAATATTTTATTTATTTATTTATTTATTTAATTAACGGATATACCATTTTTACATAAATATGACGTCAACTTTTACAAAGCTTAGGTATACATAGGTTGCGTTAATAAAAAACAAACCAATTTTAAAATCAAACAAAATTCAATTAAAATGGTAGCTTAAGCCGTCTAAAATGGAAGCTTAAGTGCGTCCTCCGCATTTTTAAAAGAAATTCCTTGAAAACTGCGTACAGCGCACATGCGCGTCTTGCAAAAATTCAGAAGAAAAATTATAATAATCGGTTTTAACATATGTGCAAAAAACAGTTGTTGAACAAATATCGCATTTAGTGTTAAAAAACTACTGCCGCACTGGTCAGCGATATGTATTTATTTGACGCAGCGAAAGGGTTAAAAGGACACGACAGTAAAATTCTTCTGTTGTGACTGTTGTGTAGTGACTCCATAGTAAATTATTCTTCTGTACCGAGCTCGATTATCGAGCGTTGGCTATCAAATTGGCTACAGTAATTTTGTTGACGGCAGCTCGGAAAAGAGATGCAGAGGATCTGTTAAACCAATATCTCAGGTTTCTAAGCCATGACGTTCTTCTTCGACCAGGCCCCCTTCTTCCGTCTTGCCTTGTATTATTAAATGGAGTATATTATATCTTTCTGGGTGGCGCATAACAAGGCCAAAATATTCAAGTTTGCGATTTTTAACTGTTTTGACGACTTCCGTAACTTTTCCTATCCGATGCAAAAAAACTTCGTTACGAACTCTATCCACCCAACTTATTCGTAGGATTCTCCGATACACCCAGACTTCAAAGGCTTCCAGTTTTGTGAGAAGTGTATCCGTCAAAGTCCAACCTTCGACACCATACAAAAGAGTAGAGAACACATAACATCTCACTAATCTAATTTTCAGACTTAAAGTAATATTGTTTCCACATAACAGTTTCTTCATCTTAAAGAATGCAGTTCTGGCCTTCTCTATCCGTATTCTAATTTCTTTGTACATGTCTCAGTTCTCATTTAGATTACAACCAGTAAAATATGAGGGAAAAACCAGGTAAAAACCTCATAATACTATCCCGACATGGAAGTATTTGGTTGTGCATTTAGTTTACTTTCAATAAACACCAAATTCTGATTTTTTATGTTTGTTATTTAAAAAACATAAATGATGTATCCTCGATACATTACTGACTTACTAATACTGGTATTTTCCTTTTAATAACTTCCTCATTTAATATGGGTAACCAGATCCTACTACATTCTGCCGAGGAATTTGCGACACAATTGGTCTTTTTTAGCATAATTACAGTCGCTTCTTTGATTTTTCTCTTTTTACCATCCGTTTCTTTTAGGACTATATTTGAATCATTCCATTGAATCCTATGTTCATTATTCCATGCGTGTTTACATATTTCAGATTTATCAAATTCTCTATTTTTAATATAAGATTGATGGTCATATATTTTAACATTTAATGACCTTAATGTTTCACCTAAATAAAACTATCGCATTGACAAGGTATTTTATAAATGCAATTTTTTTTCCTTTCTTGTTCATTGTTAGGTTTGGTTTTCGACAAAATAGATCTCAATATGTTTGTTGTTTTGAATGTTGTTGAAATGTTGAATTTATTTCCTATCCTTTTTGTTTTTCTGATAATCATTTTATGTATGGTATTGTTATTTTCCTCGTATTATTCCTTGTGTATGCTGTAGGATCTCGTTGTTCTGTTCCTTATTTATAAACGATAAAGGATAATCATTTTTTAGTGAAACAGATGTTAACAAATGTTTTTCCTCCAAGAACGAATTTTCGTTAGAACAAGTAATTTTGGCTGTATCATATAAGGATTTAATGATTCCCTTTTTAATAATAATATTGTGATTTGATTTGAAATTTAAATATCTATTGGTGTGTGTTGGTTTTCTATACACATGAGCCTCATATCTAGTATCGTCCTTAAAGATTAAAACATCTAGGAAAGGTAGTGTGTTATTATATTCCTTTTCCATGGTAAATGTTATTGTCTCTTCTTTATCGTTTATATCATTCAGGAATGTAGAATTGTGGAATTATTGGACTATTTACCTGAACTTTATGGAATTTATAACTTAGTTAATAAAGACTGGTTATTGTGATGGGGATGCTAGTTTGTAGAATGTCATAATAATTGTACAGCGTATAAATAAGTATCAATAATTCGAAGCGTGAAATTAATTCTTGCAACAGTAATAAATATAAGAGCATGCCTTACCTGTCGCGTTTAGTGAACTAAGAGTCTCTTTTTGTTTCTGTCCTATTCCGAAATATGTCAAACATGTAAGGACAGGAGCAGCTAATGAAAATATCAACAAATGTTTACGTATCCGCTGCCTAAAAGAAAGAAACTTATAAAAATCATTTAAAAAACTATAAAGTAAAAATCATATTTTTTTTTCAATTTCAAGCTATATCTTTTAGGTGGCCCTGCTGTTGATAAATGTCAGGAACGCATTGAATACACTGCAGTGAAACGCCGTAATAAATGGAATGAGGGAGAGAGAATATCCTGGTTCCCATATTTATTTACACATTCTTAAAACACGCTCCCTTTCACGCTTATTCGCCATTTTGTCGCTTAGTAACCTCTTACCCTTCTACCATCTTCAGTTTTCGCTCTTCTGATAATTCCCTGAATTCGGGACTCTAAATAGATTCACAATTCCTCGTCACAGTTAAAGCACATTACAGCGTAACTCAGACACTGAGATTTTACCTTCATCCCGCACTTCCAGAAATACCCTCTTGCTTTCCTTTCGCCATGTTTCTACTGTCATGTGGTCATATACTTGGCCACCTTCACCATCTCCTTCACTATGACGTAGACCATCCTCATATTTATCTTTTTTGTCACTAGACGTATTTTGGCTATGTCCTCATCTATCTCCACATAATAATTCTACTTTCTCCCTGTTTGTCATTATTTTTCCAACTACTTCACATGCTTCCTCCCTATCAACAAACCACATTTTCCACCGATTCGAGGAAGTCTATCCACCTTTTGCCATCATTATTGTTGCATGTCCTTGACTTGATGCCACTAAATTCTTGACTTCTTGCCTGGTTTGCTTAACCCTATTTATGACATCAAGACTGACACTTATACTAATTTTATATTAAATATAGGATGGTTTATCGGTGCCCATAAAAATCAGGTTACTATCCTATACTGACCAAGTTACTAACCAGGATGTTTTATTAAGAATGCAAAAAGGAAAAGAGTTCTTAACCACAATAAAAATAGCCAAAATTGAATACCTCATGTTATAACATTAGGCGACTTTAATGCTAAGCTGGGGAAGAATAAACTTTTATTAACATATTTGGGAAACATAGTTTGTATAACGAAACCAGTCAAAATGGACTTAGGGTTGTCAGCACTAACTTCCAGAGAAAAATTATCCATAAAGGAACATGAAAAATACCAGGAATCAATGAAGCCAATCAAATAGACCACATCCTCATCCTAAAAAGATGGACAACAGATATAACTAATGTCAGAACGTAACGCGGGGCGAACTCTGACTCAGATCACTATCTTGTGGGGGCAAAATTGTGGCAGAAAATCGCGACAGTGGCAAAAGTGAAGTTGAAGTGAAGTGAGTTATATTGAAATTTACACTGGTTCATTACAAATCAGGGAATCTGAGTTATTGTATTAAAAAGGCTATGTTCCGTAAAATAAATTACAAATGTGTATATTGGTCGATTATCCTCTGGACTAAAAAGTGTTAAAGAAAAACAGAATTTAAAAATTTATATTTTAAATGCGAATTATTGCAGCAACATAGCACCAGTACGATAGATACGTCTTGTATATAGCTAACCACTAGGATTTTTATTAAATACATTTTTAGAATTTTTCTCTTACTTACCTCTCGATTCCTTCGTGAAGGAGAAAAGTGACAAGGCCGAACGCAGCAGGCGCCTTGTGTAACATTATTGCTAAGAATACAATTATTTCTACATCTGCATGACTAGTCGTAGCTGCCGCACCGAGTGCCACTCCATCCGCTGCTGCATGCACAACCAAACCGATGGTAGCGGTAATGTTCCTTTCGGATGGATTTACGTTTTCGTTTCGACTTTGGGATATCTACAAGCATCAGTAAAATTGTATGAGGGGGAAATCAACCAAGAAATCGGTCAAATTATGTTAACCAAATAATAAACAGCGCTTATAGCTGAAACGTTTAATGAGTAATGTTTTAATAAAATATCCTGAACCAAATTTCAAATAAATTCCAACGAACTCTACGCCCATGAGTTTTTAATCCTAGAAAGACATAACTTGCATAATCTATTCCCCTTCTTCACCTACCTGTACTTGTTCTCAATGTCTAGAAATTTCGAAAAATAGCCAGTCAGTCTCTCTCTCTCTCTCTCTCTTCATCGGCTTATTATAATGACTGGCTTGCTCTTAAGCCTTTTGTGCAAGATTCAATGTAGTTAACAGTGTGCAATATCTTCATCATCACCTTCAGTAGCTCGACAACCCTTTCTGGATCCTGGCTTGTTCTAGAATTTTCCGCCATTCTGTTCTGTTCCTTGCTTTGTTTTTCCATTTGGTAATCTTAAGTGTTTTCAGATCTTGTTTCACTTGTTCCATGTATCTAAGTTTGGGTCTTCCCTTTGACCTTCTCCCTACTAGTGTTTGCCTCATTATATGTTTTGGTGTTTCAGTCTCCAACATCCGATCAACATGGCCCATCCAACGCAGACGTCCGATCTTTATGGATGTTATGACCTCGGGTTATGCTATGTATAGTTCAAAATTATATTTTCTGCACCATGTCATTTTCTTTCGCCCCCTTACATAAGTGTAAGGATTTTTCCTTCAAATGTACCTAATAGGTTCTCATTGCTTTTCGACAGTGTCCATGTCTCTGATCCATATACAAGTACCGGTTTTATCAGGGTTTTGTATATTTTGCATTTGGTTTTTCTTGTGATGTTAGATCTTATCTGAAAATCAATGAAAAGATGATGTGTGTCTATATTAAATTCACTAGTCTTTTCCAAGATTTGCCTCAAGACGAAGATCTGATCTATTGTAGACCTCTGCCTTCCGAAACCACATTGATATCCCCCAACTATTTGTTCCGCATATGGTTTCCATCGGTTACACACAAGATTTGACAGCATTTTATATGCCACAGTTAGTAGCGTTATTGACCGGTAGTTTTTACATTGAAGCTGATCTCCCTTTTTATGTAGTGGGATAATTACTCCGGTATTCCAGTCTTGTGGCAGTTGTTTATTATTCCATATGTTCACTATTAGTTCATGTATCACATTCAATAGAGAGTATCCGCCTTCCTTTATTAATTCTGCGCTAATGTTGTCTAATCCAGGTGACTTGTTGTTTTTCAGTCTGGTAACTGTGCAATATCTACTGTACTTAAAAATACTGTATAAGGAAATATTATCAGAATAAAAGATTAATTGAAGAATATGATGTTTTAAGCCCACCACGTGAAAAATAAAGTACCATTGTGTGTGTGTTACTTTATTTGGATATATTCCATGACTCAGGCATCAACTAGTTATCAGATTCATTTCTTGCTAGAAATCAGTCCACATTAACTTTTTTCTTTCATTCATAATTCCATTCTTTCCTTCTTTTACATATGCATTTCCAGACTCTAAATCCAATCTTCCCAGCTCCCGAATTATCTGATTCTCTTATCTTAATCTTGGCTTTCTTCTCTCCTCAGGTTTTGTAATATCTTTAATCATTTCTGCTTTGATCGTTTTGCTTGTGCTAAGTTTTCTGTGTTTTAGTCATCGAGCAATAAGACAAAAGAGGGAATCTAATCCTTATAAAAAGGAGACCAAAAAAGTGGCCTCTGATGGCGGACATATCCGGAAATGCGAATGCGCGAAATTTAAATTTTCCGACACTTATCAACAGTAGCTATATAATATTTTTCAGAATGTGTCTTAGACGAGAAAGTTTTAATTAATTATTAATGATATGAGTCTAAAATGCGACACAATTGTTAAAAAACTTCAATATAAATAAGATTTCATGTGACATTTGGGACAAACAATAACATAACCCAACTAAATTTGATGTCAAACAAGGAGAGAGACTCTCTTTCCTTGTTTAATGTGGCCTCTAAAGATCACACTTCCTGTCTAACAATATGTTTGCCCCCACTACCTTTACATTCCCTCTATTGTCTTTTTGCTAGATGGTTTTAGTACAGTCTTATTTTTGCCGAAGATGTGCTTTATGTTCATGATTGCTAAATAGCTGAAATTTGCTAGTATTTCGAATTTATAATTTTGTACTAGTATTTAATTGCCACGTTATTCCCTTTCTTTAGTTGTTTTCCATTCAACCTCTTAACTTTTGTTTTTTTTTTACATTTCTTCAAATATCTTTTACGAGTTTTTCCCTAGTATACTTTAGTATTGGCAGATCACCTATGTTAAATCTAATAAAAACTGATACCTTCCTCGTCATTCGCGTACGATCACGTACTTACCAAACGAGCATCGTAATTATTTGTTGTTTAGATTTGCGTCTCAAGCAATTTTTATGTTCATAAATGTTAATAGGCACTAAACATGTCTGTTTACCTGTCATTTTATATCTATATAACAATTTAAATAAATAAAAGCACAATAATAATTCCTAATCAACAAATGTGTATGACTAGGTATTAAAATGTTTGCGTTCTATAATCTTTCAATGCAAAAATATTGAAACATATAAATACTTGTGCAAATAAAATTATAAAAAACTTGGCGATAAAGTTACATTTTTATAGGATATAGCTATTGTTAAATTATTGTCAAAATATCAACTTTTATACGGATTTAAAAAATGATTTCATAATTTCCATAATAAGCAGAAAAAGTATATATCGATAATGACATTGTTTTATTGACCATACAACACAATGGCAATCGCTGTGACATGTTACACGTTTCCATCTCTGTATTCATTTCACAGTAGTTGACATTAGAAATTTCAAATGAAGTTCTGTAAGAATAAATAAATAATTAATAAAATGGCTATTACGTTGTATACCGTCCAAGAAAAGTGCAACTTGGAACATGGTACTTTCAGGGTCATTCGATACGCGAAGTAATTGATTTATTTATTGTTGCATTCGAAAATAGACCCCCACCAAGTGTTAGTTAAACATTAGCTCTTAAACATTAACATTAACTGTTAGTTAAACATTAACATTAACTGTTAGTTAACCCCCACCAACAGTTAAAAATACCATTAAACATTTTCAAACGTCGGGATGGGTAAACAGTTGTAAAAAGTGTCATGAAGGTAATGAACTATTGTTAGACCTGTCGATGAGAAGCATCAACACAGGGATATTGATATTTGTGCTTTTGTGGAAGCTAGTGAACCCTGCAATAGTGTACAAATTGCTAGGGAAGTTAACGTAAATGCTCAACTGTAAAAGCAAGCACTGTTTTAAGATACAACCAACACAAGAATTGTTTCCGGAAGATAACTTTAGGCGGATGGAGTTTTGTGAATTTATGTTAGATAAACAGAATGAAAATGTACACTTTTTAAAAAATATTTTATTTTCTGACGAATCTTCATTTTCATTACATAAAAAACACAATTCATCAATTGCAAGGTATTATTCTCGAAAAAATAAGCACGTCAGTGTTGCAGTGTGAACGCAGCATCCACAAAAGTTAAATGTTTGGACTAGGATGTTAGGCGGCCATATTTTCGGTCCATTTTTATCGATGCGGGCCCAAATGTTTACAACTTTTAAAGAATGAGATCATTCCAGCAGTTTGACTCCTTTCCGTTAATTTTCAGGACATTTATTTCCAACAGGATGGTAGTTCGGCTCACAACTTTAGAGCAACTATTGACTACCTCAATCAAATGTTTCCTGATCGACTGATAAGTACATGTGGTACAATTAAATGGTCCGGTAGATCCTGTGACTTAGCGCCTAACGATTTTTTTGGTTTTCTCAAAGAAAACATTTATAGGCATCAGTTTGCTTGCAGAAAAATATTCCATTTTTCTGCAAGCAGTACACCAGCCCTACTCCAAAATATGGGGAGAAATCTGTATGACAAATTTGGTTACTGTTTAGTACAAGGAGGTGGAATATTTGAGCCATTAATTCATTAATCTGCTTTCCTAATTTTTATTTTTTGTTAGGTACATTTTACGAAGTTTGTAGGTTCTTAATTAGGTAGTATTTTTTATGTTTAAGTTTGGAAGAATTTTATTGTTTTTTTTTTATTTAAAAGTACAAACGATTCTTATTCTGATTTTTTTTTCTTCTTTCTTGTCCATTATATGTTATAAGCTTCGTCCATAAAATTTGTACAATTTTCAGTGACAATAAAGCATATTACTTATTTACTTACTTATTTATTAGTATTGCTATTAAGGCTAAAAAATAACCAAAAAATTGGTTTTAGAGCATTATAATAAATATTCTAGAGATGGGATTGCAATAAATCTTAATTGCTATGGACAACAAAACAATATTGTATATATACCGAGATAGCAAGAGAGAGACATGATACATTTTATCTTTCTCAAGAACTAATCAGGCACTGAGTGCAGTATGTAAAATCATAGAAATTTACATCATTAAATATTATTATTTTCTTTTTCCTTTTGTCCAAAACATAGCAAAAATACATTATTTTAGATTTCTATACTAACAATAAATTAAATATTTTGTAAAACATAAATATTATCACGAAAAGCTGAAATATGTCGATTTCTGTTAAAATTCTTTACAATTTTCATGGAATAATCATAATTCCGTTTACAAAACGAAACTAGAACTATTTAATTGTAAAGAATTACAATAAGAAATCCATGTGTTTCAACTTTTATTGAACAGATATTTATTTTAAAAAATATGTGGACACAGTATATTAGAAACATGTAGCAAGTAAAAATATAACATGTAGCAATTATATTACCTTCTTTATCCTACCTTATTTATTTCTGTTACCTACAAAACCCTGGTATTTATTGAAAATATGAATTCTCATTTAAAATTTAAATGTTCAGATTGTAAATGTCATCTAAACAGGTTTATTTTATAAAAAGCAATCAGTGTTAATAGTGCAAATAAAATTGCTTTGAAATTGAAATTACTAAAATTGTTATATTTAGGTCATTTGGTTAATCTTGAAAAGTCATTTCTACACAATAAAAAAAAAATAAAAATTCATACCTGATCAACTAGCAGCATAAATATAAATCCCAAAACTAAACTAATACCAATTGCTGATAACGGATCCTTATGATCTTCAGTATGAGGTTCACTAGAGGCCCCATGGCCATGAGACTCTTCTGGAATCAATGACCTTACACCTTCAGGAATGATAACAGCTAGTGCTGTGCCCACTAGAAGACCAGCTCCGAAAACACTTATCTTTTTTAATTTGTCCTGTAATAATTAAATTAGTGCTGATTAAGAAAAAAATCACAAAATAACAAAAAAAATCAAAGAACATGTATTAACATATAAAAGATTTGGCAGTAAAAGAAGGGGAAAAATAAGCGATACTTTAAACAGGTCTTGACAGAAATACATGATACTGAACTAAATAGACAAGTAGATCCCTTAAAGGGCCAAACGAAAGATATTTTAAACAAACAATTTAACTAATAGTTTCTAAAGAAAGTATATCCATAAAGCAATATGTTAATAAGTAAAAATATGCGGCAATCGGGTGAAAAATAGTAATTTATAAATAACAATTTAAATATCATATCTTTGTGATAATATGGATTAACATACATGGCTTGTGTAAAGGTAAAATAAATTATAGAAAATAATGAATAAACAGGATAAATTTTAGCTTCCAATTATTTATATAAAGTAAATATGAGATTACCTCTGAAAATGTAAAAAATAATGGAATAGATCCTGCTAGAAAAGACCCCACTAGCATAACAAATACTAGTGCCAACAACACAGCTGTTTCTTCCATTTTCTGGCCGTTTATAACTAGAACACGGTGGAATTAAAGTTTTATTTTAATATATAAGCATTGTTTGTAATGTGTACATAAAAAATGCTTGCGTATCACAACAAAATACTACAACAAACATTAACTAAATTTTAAAATTATAACCAAAGAATATAGACGCTTATAGAAGAGCAGTTCAAATGGGCCATTTGGTTACGGTTTATACGTCAAAACACTCCTTAAGAGGGTGGCTGCATAAACCCAAAGCGTGGTGCCGTGGCCGTCGGCTTAATGAAATATGTAGTTAGGGGGAAGTGGGAAAGGAGTACGAACGGAGCTATTTATGTAACTTTGCATCTACGCCTAAACAAATTTCGATGCCATTGATTGGCAAACTGTCTTTTTTTTTGTTTTTTCACAATAAAATCTTTAATTTTAATATATTAAATTGTTAAATTTTTAATTTTAAAAGTTAAAAATGTATGATATTTACAATATTCAAATTATTTTTTTAATTTCATAACTTTGAATTAAAAATATTCATACACATATCCTACATTACGAAAAACCTTCACATAACTTTTTATTATACTGTTTTTCTGCCCAAAAATTAACGAAACATTTGTAAAAAATTTCAAAATTTTTCAACCAAAAATTTAATTTTTTCAGGACTTTTCGTCAAACTTTTTAGATAATTTTTCAAATTATTTCATTGAACAAATGTCCTGTTCAAAAAAATATTCAATGAAACTTTTTACTAAATTATGAAATTTTCCATTTCGCCGAAACTTCCATTTCATCCATAATTTTTTAATAACAACAAAAAGCATTCCTGATTTATTTTTGAAATATTTAACAGTAACTTTTAATGAATAGTCTATGTGAAAGTTTTTACGCTGTATGGGTACTATTTAATCTTTTAAAATAACAACTAGTACTAAAACATAATTAACTAATAAAGGTATTAGTAATATTATTAAAAGGAAAAATAATAATATTTATAATATTAATGACAAAAAAGCGATTCTGTGTATAACTTAAAATATAAAGCAGTGAAATAAAAGCATAAAAAAAATTGAACAAATAGATAAGGTATTGAAGAAAATAATCTAAAAATTGTTATAGCTGAATGTATTCGCTCCGTGCGTGACCATGGTAGGGGTACCTTGAAACGATGCCAGTGTGCTTAGCGGCGAAATATGACCTAATTGGACCTATCTTTTTACGCATAAATTTTATCAAAAATGTGTGCAAATACATGTTGCGTATTTAATTGTGCTAATAATAGCAAAAATAGTGAGTGTAGTTTTTATAGGTTCCCAAAGATTACATATAAATTAGAGAAAAGAAAAAGATGGATTTGTGCTATTAGCATGAAAAAGTAAATATCACATAATTTCATTTTTATGCTATTGAAATAGGAAAAATTTAAATAATTTACCTTAAATAATATTTCATAAGGCTTCAAGCTAACTGCCTGATGACTTTAGCTTTTATATCATAACTTTTATTATTATTGTTTTTAATTATATGGTCTTTCACGTGAAAAACTTAATTTTCCAGTACTAGATTTTTCCATTTCTTTTCCGTTTGGGTTGAAAAGATATATTATGATGAATTGTGAGAAACCCAGTTTTAATACTACATTTATTTTGTACACAAACTAAAAAAATATAATTAAAAAACTAATTATTAATAATTGTCAATTTTGCATGTATTTAACAATGTCAAACAGATGTCATATGTTTAACCTGAAAATTGGGAGGTCCAAAACTGTCAGATGAAGGCGGTAGGTGTCGCGTGAGTTACGCACGGAGCAAATATTTAAGAAATTTTTATTCTAAAATTGAAATTGCTTTTTTACATTGCCTATTGATGGCTCATTTTTTGAAGTTTTAGATTTGGCTTATCACTACTAGCAATTTTAGATTTTCTAGCTCTTCTAATATCTCGATTATCTTTATTAATCCATTTTAAATTATTGAATATCATAACTCCAACTAAAAATTCTAATAACCGTTGTCGATGTGATTTACAAGAGTCGTCAATGTTTAAAAATGATGGATTGATTTCATTTAATTTTTTTTATACCATTTAAAATCAACTTACTGACAATTTCCAAATAACAAACATTTTTAAACTTAACATCAAAAATATCAAGTGAAATATGTATTACTTCTGTAGGTACGCAAAGATTACCAAGTTTGTTAGTATTTTGAGAAACTTTATAAGCTTTAAAAAATAATAAAAGATCTGTCATTGAAATAAAATTAACATTTTTATGAACAAAATAATTTTCACACTTTTCACAATTAGTTTTTTTAGACATTTGTATGCAAAATATCCGGCAAGGTACTTGAGTGAATTGAGATAAAGAGAAGTTGAGCCAGTCGAAGATGCATTATTTGATACTCTTTCAAATATTGATAAACATTTTAAACTCGTTTCTGAAAATTCCTCATTGATGGTCAGATTTGTATCAAATGATCTACAATCAAAAACTTCATTCAAGCTAGACGTACTAGCTAATTCATCTTCGACAAAGTCATCAACTTCCTTATAAGATATTATCGAATCATCATTATCGCTATTACAATCTTGTGCATCGGAAAACAGTGAGCATTTGTTTAAAGGATCATTAGAATAAATAGTATTTTTAATATTTGCATCATGTTTTTCTGACATCTCATCCCCTGCATCCATAAAAGCGCAAACCTCTAAATCAGTTACAGAATCAATACGTTTATTATTAAAGCTTATTTGTCCATCATTTTTTTCTTCAATAACTTCATTTAATTCATCGAATGATTTTTGTAAATCAATTAAATTCGGAATTGCTATATAGTAGCGTTATAGTTTCATCTAATTACGTGAGGAGGGTCATAATTAAAAAAAAAATTTCGACCAAATTTTTCAATGGATGGTTTTTCTGGCGTTATTCCAAAATTTTTATCGCAGTTTGACTGCTACGGCCGATATCGCAAACCACACTTTTAACTTTAAAACCGTCTTCTTCAGAGAAATCTAAATCATTTAGAATTAAATTGCTTAGTTTTTTTCCAGGTACACAGTTATGGGCGACATAGTACAATATTAAGGATACTTGGGTTATAGCTACGAAATAAAAACTGGTATTGAAAAAGCCAGAAGCTCTTTCAACAACCTTAGGAAGATTCTCTGCAACTTATCTTTAAGTGTTAATATAAGCATAAGAATTCTTAGATGTTACTTTTTTAGTGTCATCTTCTCTGGAGTAGAAAGCTGGAAGAGAAAGCTGAAGTAGAAAGCTGGACCTTAGAGAAGATGCCATAAAACGATTGGAGGCATTTGAAATGTGGTGCTACCGACGTATATTAAGGGTGTCATATATACACCATACAAGTAACATTATTCTCCAAAGACTAAGAAAAGCCAAAGACATTATTAACATCACAAAAAACAGAAAATTGGCTTACTTCGGCCACATCATGCGTAATATTAAATACCAACTTCTACAGTTGATTCTACAGGGCAAGATTGAGGGTAAGAGAGACCCTGGACGTAGACGTATATCCTGGCTGGCCAATCTTAGGAAATGGACTGATCTAACGTCAACTGATCTATTGCGCGCTGCTATGAATAGAATAAGTTAGGTCAATGTGGTCGCCAACATCTCTAGAAGATAAGAAGCAAAATACAATTTCTGGGAACAAAAATGTGTCCAAGTTGAAAATTTAATTGGTGGTTCTCAGAGTACGGAAGCATGGAAAACTATCACTAATCTATAATAAAACACTCATAACTCCTTAAGTAACTCAATTCCTATAGAACAGTGGGAAAATCACTATTGAAATTTTCTCGAACAGTCCAGATTGGAATATATGGGACAGGAACACAGAATGGAGAGACAAACAAAAAATAGTAACATTAATACTATTAATAACGAGGTCCGTACCACGTTAATTAAAATAAAAAACGGGCGATCTCCAGGACCTGGTAATATAGCTGTCGAGTTACTTAAAGCAGGAGGTCTACTCCTAATAGAACGAATAACTTTTCTAATGAAGCAATGTTGCAAACAAATTAAAGTAGCATCTGAAGGGAAAACCGCTCACCTAGTGTCCATCTTTAAAAAAGGTAATCGAAAAGATCCTAACTGCTACAGAGGATTACGTATCCTACCTACTTTCGGTAGATTGTTTGAAAGAAAGATAATAAATGGAAAAATACAAGATGATGTAGGACATCTGATTAGCGAAGACCAAAGTGGATTTACGCCTGGTAGATCTAGCACTGATAACTTATATCCAACCAACCAATTGTTGGAGTTTATACTCCAACAATTAATAGAAAAAAGAATAACGATTGGCACCGAAGTACCGAAGTTAGCTTTCATCGATCTAGAAAAAGCGTATGATACAGTTCCAAGACTTAATTTGTGGCAAGCTTTACAACAACTCTGCATTAGTCCATACTTTTTAGGAATAATCACAAAAGTATACAGGGATAACACTACTTACCTAAAAATCGGAAATAAACTATCAGAGCCAATAAAAGTAACCAAAGGACTAAGACATGGATGCAGTATGTTACCCTTAATCAGGGAGTAAGTCCAAAGGAACAAAAAAAGAATAGGACAAACCATGGTTGAATCAGTTCTTTGTTATGGCTCTGAAGTATGGACAATTAATGCAGACCTGAAGAGAAGATTGTTGGCAGTTGAAATGGATTATTTGAGAAAAAGTGCTAGAACATCAAGGCTGGAAGGAAGACCAACGAATCTATAAGAAATAATGCGAATGCTACAGAAACAGAATAGAAAAAAAAAAGTTTAAAATGGTTTGGACACCTATTGAGAATGCCTGACTAACGTTGGCCCCAAAAACTTCACAGATGAAAGCCGCCTGGAAGAAGAAAAAGAGGTAGATAGGATATAGGAGGTATGCTGATCTGAGAACTATCTCCATAACTCCTCCCTCTATAACATTTATCTTTACTGTCGTTCAGTATGTGGAACAGAGATCACAAGTCTTCTGAGTTAAGGTCTTGATTTTGCCTTTTTAGATGGGTCCTGATAGTTTCTTCATCAAGTTTTTTCTTGGGGTCGCGGGTGAGGATCATGGGGCGCTTAGGCATATTATTGAAACAATTATATTTAAGTTTACTCTCTCCCACAGGCCCTCAATAGTCTTCACCACTTCAGTCGTCCATTTGTTTGTATACTCGTTAACACAGTTCACCCACAGAGTCCCTTTGCTAAACGATGTTTTATGGAACTGCAGGAGTTCATTTTGACCTTAGATAGGAGCCTTGCCTAAGAAGTGCTTGCTCTAGTTTGTTAATGATCAAATTTGCTTGAGCCCGATCTAGTTGAGTATCAGGATGGTGTGTCTGTTGTCAGGGTGCTTTATGACCTAGTCTGCTCGTTAGAGCACTTTGATTTCTTAGCAACTCTATTACAAGGGGGTGATGTTATTCTCCCCAAGTCTCTTTTTATCGTCGGGTGTTGCTGATTTGGATGTTTAAGGATTTGCTATGGTCTATGCCCCAGCTGCAATTTTTGCCTTTTTCTTATCTTCCTTTGTTGAGCTCTAGTGATTAGTTATTTGAGACTTACTTATTTTTTAATTTAAAAATCCGAAATTATACTTCACAATTTCGAATTTTCAAATTGTAAAAAATAATTCTTTGGTGTATGTGTTAAAAAGCAATTCTAGCGTACTAACAAGATCAGGAATTGTTTTTTGATCGAAACACCTTACAATTTTTTGAGCTTTCTCTCCCGGTGATTGACGCTTAAATAATTTTATTTATAGTTTATGAAAGTTTTAATTATATTATTTATACTTTTGTATATATTTCAATTAAAAATTTGAGTCATATATTTTTTTAAAAGATTAATTTATTAAAAGGTAAAATAATAATAATAAAATAAATTATTTTCTTTAAAAAATTTTATAAAATGCAAAAATTTAATCCTCTTCTACGACCACGCGGCATCTCATAAAAATATCTAAGTTACATTTGTTGCCCCACTCTTTCATATTTTAGAAGCAATAACAGCGCTGACATGACCGGTCCCTAGTGAAATCTCGATCCATCTCGATCCACCTCCCTTCTTTTTTGTAACGTGCGATCAACTCTGTTCAATCTTTCTCAACTTGCAAAACGGGAAGTGAATAATTCTTCTATAAGCGTCTATATTCTTTGTTATAACTTTACACGTATCTGCAGAATTTACAGAAATGTCAAATGCATGTTGTGACATTTGCGGTAATGTCAAAATTGTTGTCAATTGGACTTGTGTAATTTTTCGCGACCGATTTTTTTTCCATGGAACTTAATAATGGGTGAATTTATTTTGAGTTGTTTTTGTTCTTTAGCAGTGGCTTTAAAACATTAATATCATATTTACTAAATCTATACATTTTAAATTATCTGTATCTATTTATATTGTTCAATTTTTTAATAAATTGTATATTATGTCATTGTAAAGTTATTCTCATATTCTTAAAAATATGCCTAGTTTGATATCATATGACGATATGTCAAAAGATTGGTATTCATGTTCATTGTCCTGTCCCTGACTTTTAGTTGTCTACAAAAATGTATACAGAAGAGATATAAATAGATAATTTACAATGAACCTGCAATCACTTTTTCAAGATTTTAATCCAAGGTAACTAAATTCAATAATTTCGTTAAGTGTTATTCAGTAATTTATATAATTTCCGTTTTTAAGATTTCATTAACTTATGTTTAATTTTAGTAAGTTTGTTGTACATACTTGCCTTCTAGTATTTACCATTCTCTTCGCCTTAAAACTAGATAATCACGTCTCCTGGTCCTTTTGGACGGTTTTTACTCCAATTTGGGTATGGAAGGTCTTAGTAATAATGGGAGCAACAGTAGGGAGCTATGTCTGGTGGAGGTATCCACATTTCAGGTAAATAATTTGATTCTAATTAAATGTAATCTAAAAATAACTAATGAAAATAACAACTTAATAAAAACATGTTGAATGTAAATTTATGCACATTAGAAGCTATGTTAAGAGATAAATAAGGAGATATTATAAATGTTTCAAAGTAATGTTTTTTAAAAAAAGAAAGTTTCAATCATGGACATATAAATAAAGATTTCAATACATTGTCTATTTTTTACTTTTTTATAGCTGTAGTTATAGTCTAAAATGGGAAAAAGATGAAGTTGAAATTCAATTGAAGCTAAACGAAGGTCTGTGTAGTTTAACTGAGGATACTGTTACTGAAAGATCAGTAGCTTCATTGTGATCATAAAAAAAACATGATTTAAATATTTTTTCATTATAAAGTGCATTATGTACAGTAGATCCGCTGGATCTTTGCACATCGTCATTATTCATTTAGGAAATAACCAAAACATATGAACCAAATTTACATCTGTTATAAGAATTAGAAAATGGCTAATATTACAAGGGTAGTTTTTATACTTCTTTTATATTTCATTTATTTTATTTTGAATTTCCAATTATTGGAAACCTACAGGTTGTCCAATAACTAATGGCTTGTTATATAGACAATAGATACTATTTAGTTTATTACATAAATGAATACTCACAAATGTTTTTATATCATAAAAATATTGAAATTTGGTTTTATACAATAGTAAAAATAATATTTTCGTTTTAGGTTAGAAGGTGAAGCCTATGTGCACTATAAATCAATGTTAATATCTTTAGCATTACATTTAATATTGTTAATGTTTGAACTTTTGGTTTGTGACAAACTCGAATCAGCAAGACACTTGTGGATTTTAGTATTTATTCCTTTAATTTTTATATCAATTGTTAGTATAGCTGTTTGTATTTGGGCTGTAAAACACGACAGATCGTTCGAGGTAAGCTATAATTTTATTTATACTAGACTATGTGCCAGGGTAAGAATGCTACATCAAGTTAACATTTAAAAAATTGCAAATATCTGGTTTTTATTTTTTTTTTTGCATGAATTTCATTTATATTTATCAATACCAAGATATTTGAGTTTTTAATATATGTAGAGCAACTGACACCAGATTATTAATGTTGCATCACATGTACAAGAAAAGTTATGTCTAGATTAAATAACAGATAAACTCAGAATTCAAAATGATTGTTAGCAACTCATTTTGTTAAATCTTAAAGATTTGGTGGAGAGCAGTTTAATACGGATTTATTTATCACCAGAAAAATTGGCCTCTAATTAAAATTTTAGCCACTAAGATTTATTATAGACAAGGTAGACTCCCCTGTTGCGAAATTTACTATTTATTACGGCATGCAGCCAGTATAGAAAGTTTATCCATATCTGCACAGTCAAGGCATAACTGAATGCTCTTTTTCCATAGGTTGACAATCCTATGGAATTTCGAGTATTGTTTAACTACAAAAAAGTTTGATACAAAACAAAACTGGCACTTTAAAGTCTCACAATTTATTAAAAAATTGAGTATAATGTAATTTGTTCTATTTTTGTATTTTAGCTTGAGTTATTCTGTGCTGTTAACGTGTTACAGTTCATATTTCTTGCCTTAAGATTAGATGGATTTATATCATGGTCCTGGGAGGTGGTATTTGTGCCTCTTTGGATTGTTATGTGTCTTTCATTGGTAAGTACAACATATAAGATTTTTATAACTTATTGAAAGAAGATTATTAGTTTTCAGATGTTTATGCGTTTACATATTGATACATACAAAGGGATATTTAGGTTATTTCTGTCAATAAATTCATATTTTACCATTTTGTTAATTTCTGTTTTTCTTTGGGGCATATTTTTCATGCAATTGTGGAAAAACAAAACTTTCTAGCTACTGTGACAGTTTACAGATGCAAATAATTATGGTATTATTTTTATATTTGAGAAAGTTTTTTTTGTACTTATATATTAGTAGCGTAAAAGAAATTGTAATTTATTATATAAAAATGAAATCTCATTTCTCTATGTTACGTCATAACTTAAGATCGGCTTTACCGATTTTATTCATCATTTTTTTAGTTCTTTAGTACTGTATAGAAGGTTCTTACGGAAAGAAAATTGAACAATTTTAGAAAATGATTGTTTAAATTTCGCGCATTTGACAGTTACCATGATTCAAATGTCATACTGGGCATGATACTATGACTAACAAGATAGGAGCTTCCCTTAGCACAAAATCGGTCGTGTTCGCGGATGCCGTCATTGGAGAGTAGAATTTGAATTCTTGTTAAAGTTAAATGGGATTTGTATGCATTCTGTGATGGAATTATTCAATTAGCAAAATAATATTAAATGACTTTTTTGTGTTATTTGTGTACAAAAGATAATAATATAATATTTAAAAAACTATAAGAAGAAACTAGACGAAAATAAGTTAAGAGGTTTAATAATTACAATAATCATACACATAATGATATCTCCAAACTATTTATTAAAGATTATTTATTGATACATACAAAAAATAAACATTTTCAGATATGCGCAATATACAAATTAAACTTCAATGTATCAGAAAACATTTTAGTGTTAAAATAAATTTGTTTTATTACAGATAATTAATCACTATAAAATAATATAATAGGCAATTTCAATACATGTTATCAGTGTCTCTGTATAATAGTCATAGTTATGTAATATGTTAATAATAATTAATCATAACATATATAGCTAAAAATCGTGAGGCATTCAAACTAAACTGACATTATGAATGTGCAACTCTAAAATTACGTCATGACTTATGCGCAATATCTTATCTTCATAGTCATAGTATCATGATACTGGGTAGTAAAGTGGTGTGTATCCTCTCCAATCACGCAGGGGATCGGAGTTGAATTTCTTGTGGAGTAGAAATTGTTTGCTTCTTTTATTATTTTAAATATTCTAAATTTTTAAACATTTAATCAAATTAAAATAAAATACAAAATATGATAAAATTATATGACAATTAGTAAAACAACAATTTTATTTTACCATACAAACTCCTTTGGATGGATGCCACTAACACTATGGCTGTCTTCACATCTATTCGGTTGTAGGTTGAAGTTAATTTGTTAATATTATATTAATTAAATGGCACTGAGGTCTCAATCTGCCTGCTCCTTAGTTTTGAGTGATGGTTCTCATATTTCTGGAGAACAAGATATGGTGCGTTACTAATGAGGGGAGTAGGCAGATTCAGACCCTGAACTCGAACGGAACCATATTCCTCTTGATAATGGCTCCAAAATGGGTGTCTTTGACCGCGGAAATTTATCCTAACATTATAAAGACATGTTAGCATGCTCATTCAAGTGTTTGGTATGTCATTTAACCTTTTATTTTATTTCTATTTTAGTTTATTTTCCATACATACTTATTTATGTAAGTTAATATATCGTTCTAAGACTGCAAAAGCTGAAGAATAATTTCATTGGGGTAACTAGGATCATCAAAAGAAAATTCGAGGGAGAGTATGCCTTGATTCCGCGTATACCGATGATTACAACGAACCTACCACTTGATTTTAAGTATCTACAATTTCCCATGCGTTTGGCTTTTGCAATGACGATAAACAAATTGCAAACTAGTGCAGAAATGTACAATCATACGTCGTGTTTTCGTGCGTTAGAAAACCGTCATCGTTGTTTATTTACGCATATTTTTTATCAGAAAGCATTAAATTGATTCAATGTTTTTCGTATAAAATGTGTTTGTTTGGTTTTCTGCCAATTTTTAGTTATTGAACTTTGACACCATATTTATGTAATTCTAAAGCGGTACAAAGTTCTCTGGGCCAGCTAGTTGTATATAATTTCGGTTTAATTTACATGTAGGGCAACACATTTTTATAGAAAAAATCTTATTGAGTAGTTTGTTGTTGACCTATTTGACCCTGTTGACCTTGTTATTTCTTCAAATTGATAATGACATATTTATTTATATACATACACAAGATTTCTGTAAATATGTCTAAATTTTGTAGATGAAATAAATTATAAATAAATAAATTGAATTACTCAAAGAAAAACGTTGACACAATTAAATTTTATAAATGACGTCAAAAAAATTGACACAATAAAATTTTATGATTGCTTCTGTGCTTCTTTATATTGAGTGAAAAGTTCATCAATGTTCTCATCCTCACTGACTTGGTTACTGTTATTAACATCGGAATCACTATCTTTCAGATTGAAGCAGTTGTGACATATAAATATATCACCATCGTTAGGTATATGCTGTCTATGCTTAACAGGAATACAACATTCGTGTCAATAAAGATTACAGTCATTGTATTTTAATTTATTCAATTGAATATCATTTGAATAAATAGAACATTTGACTTGTTTTTAATTCTTTTTGTTGCTACACTGGTTCTTGGTTAATTTTTCTTCTCTCTTCTGTTTCCTTTCTTGTTTTTCCTGCTCTTCTCATTTTTTCGTAACATTTCTTGATATCGTGCAGATGTAATAGCAAAAGGAAGTCGTTCCGTGTTACGTTTATTTTTTCTTTCCAGTGTGTTTCTATTTTTTATAACCATTGGGTTATCTGAATGTTTTGAATCATGTTCAAAAAATTCCAAATTTTGAACAACAAATTCAAAGTTTCGTCACTAGGTAGATTATTCTTTGGATTTTCTTTTGAATTCTCTATGCTATGAACTTTTTCAGGGCCTAAGATATTTACAAAAGTGTTATAGTTCATCTTGGGTTTCTTTTGATAATCTGAAATGATTAAATTTTTTACTACTTCTTTACCTAAACAAATTTGTATAGTCAATTGCATCTGCTTTAAATGAAAACCCCCCTTATTCACTACCCCTCCTGGATGCCGTTCTTCCCATTCTCTTACTAACTGCCCCAAGCTTCTTTTAACAGCTTTCAACATTATAAACATTTTTTGAACCTTTCATGGCAAATACCTTTCCAGTAGATGGACATATTTGAAATCCTGACTCATCTCCATTAAAAATTCTTGATGGATCAGTTAGAACTTCTAGATGTTTTTCTTTAACATAGTTTTCAATATTTGTAATCCAGTTTTTGATAGCTCGTTCGTGAACCTCTGGATGGCGCTTCAAAATCTCTAAAAAACCGATAAATACAGATTAAAATACATTTTTTTGGTTTTAAACCATCCATCTCCAGGTCGATTATCTTTAAAGATATTGGGGCGCCGATTTTCGGTTAAAAATATTTCCACGCTGGTTTTTAAATCGTTATCTTTTTTGGGGAAACCTTTTGAAGCGGTTTCTTGTATCCATCTGAAATATTGAATGTAAAATCAAATAATGCTATGGATTAAAAGAAATTGAGTGAACGTACCTAACTAGAGTATTCTCCTCCTCGTAAGTTAAAATAGGAGACGGTCCAAGTGTATCTTTATGTTCCGGATGTTTTAATTTAAATTCTATAGTGGACTTCGGAATGCCATATTTTTTTTTCAGCTGTTAGGTATATACGATTCAGTGCCATTTTGGAGATCCTTAACAGCTTCTATGTCGTATTTTACTACAATCCTAAAATATCAATTTAGTGATTTTACGGTCAAATTTAGTTATTGGACAGCCGTCCAATAACTGTCATATTGATTACTAAATTAATTTTACTGCTATCTCCAGTTAATTATGCGCAAACCCTTTGAAAATTGTAGAAATATCTGGTAAGTGTAGTTATCTAGTGATTGGACATGTGTCCCATAATAGAATTCAGCAAGTTTTCTAGTGTAGTTATTGGACAGACGTAATTAAATCTGAATTAAAATCCCTATTACCGTACGCGATCTACCTTAGGGACTATAAGTGCCTTTACTACACCCTTTTAAATGAAAATACAATCTTACCTTAAAAATAACACGTAGTTTTGAAAAAAAGTCAAGAGCGGATGCTTAACACAATGCTTAAATGTCACTTCACTCACATAACCTAAAAATATTTACCGCCAAAATCACAGAATCCGTTAAAGGCAGAACATAGACATAAGAATGTACTTAATATAGAAACGAGTAGTGCCACCTAGTGAAATATACTAATGGTAGTACTTGCAGAAATCTTAGGAAATAAAATGTGCAAATTATGATGCTTTATTACTTTTCTAGCCGTTAGGATACAGGGTATGTCTTTGTTTTAGGTTGGTGTTTTATATACAATCATTTTTGCTGCCATTTTGTTAAGAACTCCAGAAGTTAACGCTCAACAAAGAAGAAGTAGTTTTATTTCTGCTGTTGGTTATACATTTCTAGTTATTCCTATACTTGTATTTCAAGTAAGTACCTTTGCGTCATATACAATATTATCGTTATAAAAAACTACTTTTATAATTCCATCCATGTCTCATTTTATACTTGTACATAAAATGTATGCCAAACATTATTTAATCATATATATTTAATATAAATAAGTATATTGCACACTGCTGCCATCTGTCGGCATATCTACAAAGTTTTGCTATAACAAATTAATTTCGGTTTAAAGTTTATTTATAAATTAACTAGTATTATATTTATCAATTAATTTATAAAATGTTAAACAGTTTATGTATATTATATTAAAATAATATAATTAATTATATTTAAAACGCTGGTGCCACCTGTTAGCAGATCTATAAACTACTAACTGTTGTTGCCAAGCATATTGTTCGTCAAATATAGCTGAAAGTGTGAAAACGCGTGACGATCATGATGCGCATTCATCAAACGACGGACCTCGCCGCGCACTCGCACTGACGGTCCAGACCGTTTGTATGTGCGTTCTCACTTTATTGTTAGCGCAGGCAATGGGAATTTCACACTTAAATGGGCGATTTGGTCAGAGTTATTATACTTCAAGACACTCCAGTAGAGGGCGACTGCGTAAACTCCGTGGTCGTCGGCTTAAAAACATATTATGAAAGATAGAGTTAGGGGGAAGTGGGAAAGTAGTACGAAAGGAGTTATTTAACTTATGCATCCACGCTAATAAAATTTTGATGCCATTGATTTGCAAACTGTTGAACTATTTTTTAAATTCTTTAATTCAATTTGATTGTATTTTCTTTGACACCAGTAATTTGAATGTATTTTTTAGGTATTGTTAGCCGATAAACTAGACGACGATATTCGGTTATCGTATGTTGTGGTTGCCAGCCCCCTTTTTGTATCTTTTATCACTCTTATTTTAATGTCATTTAGTGCCAAAGGAGGAAATAAATGTAAGTATACATAAATTACAAGAGTTTACTGATCAAAGTTGCGCTATTCATCGATTTATCTCGTCGGTTATATCGCACCCTCAATGCAAGACTGCAATAACTCAAAATTTTATGAAAATGAAGTAATCATGGAATTCGATTGTAAACATGCATATCTATCCTCTGTAAAATTTTAGTAACTTTCAAATGCTTAATCGGCTAAATATTACAACAACAACAGTTTAACTATTTTGCGTTTTTGTACATAAGTTCCATACAGAACTGTTGTAATTTTAATGTAACAGAGTTACAACAGTTTTGCACGGAACATTGCAATGGTTTCGATATCAAGCAATGAAAGGCACGAAATAAGTATCATATTTGTTATTTTAATATCTATATCTGTCGTGTTTAATTTTAATATACAACGTGTCTACGTAATCCATTAACGGCCGAGACAATAAACAATTGTCTTCGGGTTGGGAAGTGTATTTTTGAATACGTGGAACTTAGTAATTAATCAAAACTCGTATATTAAGTGTATTAAAAATTTTTTACTTTTTTTAGGGTGGTTCGGTATAAGAAAAGACTTTTGCTCGTTTGTACTAGGTGCTTGTCCGCTATTACAAGAATACGCCAACATAGCTTACCACAGCGAGAGACGCACCAACGGCGTAGAATTGGAGCCTCAAGTGGACATACGAGAAAAAATTGTCAAGAGAGCCGATCTACTGAAGCCAGTTGTACCTATAATTTCTATAGAGATTCCAGACTGAATTTACATACTTTTAGAATAGGATTTGTCTTACTTTGTCTAAGCCCTTTATGAAATCTCTTCTGATTACTCAGAACAAAAAGTAAGGAACATTTAAAACATACAGTTAATTATATTCAGCAAAGAATTTTGATATAAGTTTTATATAATATATAATTTGATAGACTTTAATATTTATTCTTATTTAATCAAGTCGAAAGGACACAAAAGGAAGATGAAAAGTGAACTATTAAGAAAACGTGAAATTTGTCAATATATTTTATTTTTATATTGTATTTGTGATTAATTTCATTATAACTAAACTATGAAGCGAAGGAAAAGAATAGAGGAGATAGTAATGTAAAATAATAGGCACAATAAGCTTGAAATTATAAATATTTGTTCATGTTTTCTTTTATCACACTCTTTTTACGAATATCAAACCATGTGTCACATATTTTTCATATAAAGCTAGGTTCTTGTTTATATTTTCTTTGATTTTTCTTTATGTTGCTTCAGAACAATATTTTGTCGAACACTTCATTTGTCTCCAAATGGACTAGGATTTCATTTATTTACAGGTTGAACTGAATTTTGTCAGTTTATTATTTAATATCTTCCTCAAATGCAATGACACAGTTTAATTATCCCAAAACTTCCGTTTAGATAAATTTTTCTTATTCAGTTTCGATTTTTATATAAAATAAATACACTCCAAACTGTATTTTTGAAGAATGTCTTCAGTATCTATTTATACATGCCATATTTTATCATTATGTGGCACCTCCAGATACTAAGGTAGAATAAATGCCAATTATGAATGTAGCGGGACCACAGCAACGAGGTAATTGAAGTGTTCAAAAAGAGAAGTTGTACAAGCCGAAAAGTTAGCACAACTGTTTAGCTATTTTGTCATTGTTAACATTGTTGGTCGTGAAAATAAAGTTTTCAATTGTTGACATGTCTCTCACTGAACGAAAAGCACTACAAAATAACCAAAATATTACACTCTACTGTTACTAAACATTTTTTTCGAATCTTAGTAACGGGTTTTAAGGTTGTTACTGCACTTTTCTAGAGGCGTTCGGTGATATTCACAAAAACAACACTGTTATAATACTTAAACTTTTCAATCTTTGCTGTACACCTAAGTTTGAAGCCTCATTGAAGTTAAACAGGCTCTGTTGAAATAATTACAGTGAAAATATTGTCAAATTTCTTATACGGAGTGTATTATTGTATTTAATACCAAAAATTCAGATATAATATGCTTATTTTTCTGTAATAATGAAAATAATTCAATTTGAATTTCTTGATACTCAAACTAACCTATAAATCGACTAGAAATCCTTGAAATTATTAATAACTGGAAATAGTCTTAGGTTACATACTTATATAGTCTCAATTTACTATAGTTTTAGCACTGTAAGTGATTTACTACCTTCTTTAAATAGCTCTCTTCAATACATTTTCTAAATACTACATTACATGTTCATAGGTGGCTCTCATAATTTTTTAGTAGTATCAGCATGGTTCAATATTATGGATTTTTTAGTACAAAAATCTAACAAACAATGATTTTTCCTGATTAACCAAGTCACGACATAGTCGAATAATTGGGGTTTTTTTACATTTATGTCTGACCTTATTTTCCTGTCTTTATTCCTAATTTACTTGATCTATGACATTGGTGGTCTTCCTTTTGGTGTATTTCCATTTCCATCTAGTTTTTTTGTTCCTTTGTTTTGTGAACCATAAAACTTATGATAATAACTTTTTAGATAACTTAACTAAGTCACCCGTATATAGTTTTGATGATGTAAGCAATCAAAATGGCGGGAAAGCTTTATTTTACAAAATATTTTTAAATGCGACCATGTGGCAAGTAATTCCTTATTTGAAAGCTGCTATTTCACTCAGTATATGACTACACTTTAATATGATCCTATTTTTTTTTTCATTCAAAGTGGCTACCGTTCAATATTCTCAATGGTAACTATAAAAAAAGTATGAATTACACCCAATGGTTTGGTAGTCTTCGACTGTTATCGAAAACACTCCATCAGGACAATTAATTACACTCAATGGTTTGGTAGTCTTAAGGGCTTTTATCGAAAACATTCCATCAGGACAATTCATTTTCCTAATGTGGCACATTTTAGTAGGACTCCTTTATTATTTCACTGACATCTGTCAAAAATGTGACGTCATCGATATTTTCCTTAAATAATAATGTACGGCATTTGAAACGTCATTTAAAAGTTTTTGTGTCACTTAAAGCATCAATTTCCTCTGTTTCTGCCAGCCACATGGAGTAATTGTCCTGCATTTGATATCTGAGTTATTTACGAATGTTTTTTAACCAAGAAACCTGTTTTCTTCACATACTTCTATTTTGCCTTTAAGGATCTATGATTGTAGTATTTTATATCGATTTCCCCTCACTACATGTCCCAGATAAGACATTTTCCGGTTTTAACAGTCTTCTAACATTTTCTATCTTTGTTAACCCTGCTTAGTAATTCCTTATTAGTTTTGCTCAATGTCCAAGGTATCTTTAGCATATGTCTATGAGTCCACATTTCCAATGCTTTAATTCTGTTCATGCTTGATACTTGTAGTGTCCACACTTCTGCTTTATACAAAAGTACAGACCAACTTAACCATTCTTTGTCTTAGTTCCTCTGTTTACCATACACTAATTATTAATTTTTCAATTCTCGTTAGTCATTTTGCACCTCTATTTTAAATAGATTACTTAGAGACTTCTTTTGGAGTAGGAACTTTTTTCGCTTTCATTTTTTTATCAATTCGTTATAATATGTTGATGTCTGTATTTCATTATATATATTGTCCTTGTGGCCTGATACTTATTGTCACTTTAACAACCTTTTCTAAATTTTGACCAATTGGTCGCTTGAGTAGATAGTTCTTCCTTGTAATTTTCATTTATTTTGGGTTACGTTTACCGAAAGTATAAGCTGAATATAGCCCATCGAGCAAAAAGATAAAAGAGGGAATGTAAAGGTAGTGGGGACAAAAATATTGTTAGACAGGAAATGCTATCTTGAGAGGCCACTTTAAACAAGGAAAGACAGTCTCTTTCCTTGTTTAAGAAGTCAAATTTAGTTTGGTTATGTTATTGTTTGTCCCAACTGTCACGTGAAATTTTATTTATATTGAAGTTTTTTTACCAATTATGTCACTTTTTAGACTATTATCGTTAATATTTAATTAAAACTTTCTTATCTGAAAAATATTTTACAGGTATTGTTAACAAGTGTTGGAAAATTTAAATTTAGGGCCTTTGCATTTCCGGATATGTCCGCCATCAGAGGCCACCTTTTTGGTCTCCTTTTCATAACGATTAGATTCCCTCTTTTATCTTTTTGCTCGATGATATAGCCGCAAATGTCAACCATGAAATAAATTATTTCGGTTTGACAGTGTTGGGGTGTTTTTATAATGGATACATTGTATGATTCAAATATAAAGAGAAAAAGCTTTTACAAAGTACATTTTGATGGTACTATTTTATGAATTCTGCAATTTGTAATTTAAATGAAAAAATAATGAGTAAATATTTGTATATATCTTTAAAGAATAATTGGTAACATCTGTTGCAATCTGGCAACTGCTGATTTGACGATTGCCAAATCTATCAAAGGGCAATTGCCAACAAAAATTCCAATAATTAACTGCAATTAATCAAAGAAACAAATATTTACTCATTCTTGTTTTATATAAATCAAAAATTGCTCAATTTATAACATAATATAATCAAAATATACTTTTCTAAAGCTTTATCTCTTTATATTTGAAGCATACAGGTTATACAGTATATAAACATGCCACCACTGCTAAACCGAAATGTTTTGTTCCATGTTTGACATTTGCAGCTATAATCAGCTTGTACTTTCGGTAAACTCAACCGTATTTTGTTTTTGACATACTAATCTAAGAATTATTCAATTGTTACAAATTTCTTTACATTATCACAATCGTTTGATTTAAATAGCTGCTGTGAAGTTTTTCAGAAGGGCTTAGGCTTCTTTAAACCTTTATCATAAAATTTGAATATATATACAGGGTTGGAAGTCTGTGTAATATTTATGTAAAGTATTTTTAGCAATATTTAAATGCAAAATCGAAGATCTGGTTGAACAATAGTGGTAGTCATAAAAAATGTATTCAAATTCATGCTAAAAATTCAATTACATTCTGACCTTTACAGTGTCACTTTTTTGAGCCCACGTTTGGTATATAGTCGACCGGCTGAGATGAAATGTACTGAGATGTGTTTGATTTTCTTAAGACGAAGCCTGCAGTTGTAAGATTTTTTTTACAATGATTGAAAAATGACATGCTAACATGCAAAAATGAGTTGCGATCCGTCAAAAAACATATATTACGGTATAAAGAAAATGTAAATGAAAAAGTTCGCATCTTTACATAATAATTTTCCATAGAACCTTCTTGTCTTGTGAGAACCAGTCGTGCCACAGTATACTTCAACTTAATCGTCTGGGATATACAGTGTGTCCCATTAAGTCGACACCATATGGGATTTTTTTTTTGATTTTTAGTTTTATGAAAAAAAGTATTCTTTTTTTCATAAAACTAACTAATTCATATTTTTTGACAAGTCGTGTACATGACTGAAAAAATTTAATATCTGATGATTGTATTCTAGGTTTTAGACATACAGAACTTTTTATAAAGGATAATCAAGTGTACTTGTATATTCTCTCCCATACTTCAACTTAACCGTAAAAATATTATAATCGGTCATTTCAGAAACAACGTGAGTGAGAAATTAAAGTTTTGATTAAATCACAAAAAAATGTTTTAAAGCGCTGTAAGAAAAACTGCTTTAAAATTAATTGTTGCAATAATATTTCACTGTCCTGTACATATGCATTACATATTTTTTGTAAACATTGTTTTTTCTTAAGTCTTATTATGGTTTTAAAAAAAAAAGTGACATGTTTTTCAGAACAGAAATTAAAATAAATTTTTTTTTTGAAAATTTTGCAGTAATCATCATTAATTGCATCAGAGGTAGATCACTGCATAATCTCTTCAAAAAATGATCTTTTTTCCTATGGTACGTAGTACTTGAGCTTGTGTATGTCTTCTTTTTTTATTAATTGCTACTTTACCATTCGAATAGACCAGAACTGTTGGTAAAAATGGAATTCTATCACTTATTTTAAGTTT